TGTCCTGACCTGGAATGCACATGCTCAGTGCACCAGGGGCTGGCCCTATAAAAGGGGGCAGTGAAGACAGACCCAGTGGGAATACCATTTTCCATCTGAACCAGTCCACATCACGCCACCTATCCACACCAGAGACCCTGCCGGCGACTGGACAACACCGAGCTGAAGGAGACCCCAAATGGCCATTGAGGATCTACCTTCAGCCTGGGATAGGTAGATATCACCCACACACTTCCTTCTACAACTTGGACTCTCTCTCTCCTCCTGGACTTCAGCCCCTGCACCAAGACTTTTTAACCCCTACTGCCATTGTGTGTGTGTGTGTGTGTGTGTGTGTGTGTGTGTGTGTGCGCGTGCATGCATGCGCGCACGTGCACACGCGCATGCTCAAAGAAACCAATAAGATATTGGGTCACGATCTCCCCAGTTCAGTAAAACCACTGTCATTTGCAACCCCGAGCTGGATCGTGTTTTACTGAACTCTGGTCCCTTCCCTATTTTAAATTCCAGTCTCTCTCTGTCAGCTCCAGCCCCTCCCTGCTTTCATTTCCCAATCTCCTCTCACTTCCATCTCCCCTTTTCTGCCACCTTTAGCCTCTAGGCCCTGCTCCCGTTGTCCACTGCCACTTTCCCACCATTTCCCCGCAGTTTCCCCGGAACTCCAGCTCCCCGCACCGGCACCCCTTCCCCCTGAGCTCCCCAGCAGTCCGTCTCTAGCACCCCGAGCTCCCCAGCAGTCCATCTCTAGCACCCACGGCTCCCTGAGCCAGCTCCCAGTTCCCCCTTAGCCCTTCCAGTTCCCTCCAGCCCCAGTTCCCCTCTCCTCGCCTACCTTTTGGCTCCCCTGCAGCTCCAGCTCCTGCTCCCAGTCCCAGTCCCAGTCTGTGTGCCCCTCTCAGGCATCTCTCCCATGTTCTGCAGGCTTTGGACATTGTCCTTTAATCAATTAAGGTCAATTAACCTAAAGTAACCCCAAGCCTCAGTTCCTCAGCCAGCTTCTCTATAATCCCAGTTCTGGCAACTTTCACTCCCTACACTTTAACTCTCTCTCTCACCTTAACCTTCCCCCAAGTATCCCAGGTACCCCAATCACACACATACACACACCTTACCGTCCAAGTTAGGAACTTACCTCTGTGTGTGTGTGTGTGTGTGTGTGTGTGTGTGTGTGTGTACCTAATTGATTTTGAGTGTGTGCATGTGCAATTGTACACCATGCCCTCCTGTCTAACAGCATGATATTGAGATCCTGAGCATTGGCCTGACCCCACAGGGCAACAGGATAAGATAAAAGGATTTTTTGGATACCAGCTGTATTTTCACCACTGTGGAAACCTTAGATTGGAACTCTATGAACATAGAATACATCACAGTTTCTAGAAAACATAGCTGAGAGATATTTAGCCTAAAATCCCTATCCAATGCAGGCTTGTCCTACCCTTTTCCTGCTTTCTAGACCAACAGTTGAGGAAGATGTAGCAGCTGCTACATACTGCAGTCATAAAGCATGAGCTAGCATGTGAAAGAAGGACAGTGTTATTTTCAGGAACTCCTTGATAATAATAAAAAAAAAGGAAGACTGGTTTATCCTGAGTTTCAAGAATATGACTCAGCTTTAGGTCAAAAAATATATATAAATATATAAATAGATTATATAGACCTATCCAATCACCAAGAGTGTCTCCTATTGGCTGAAAGGGAGCTTGTTGTTTTGCTTTACTATATTAATAAAGGGATAAGCAGGAGGAGCTCACACTCCTACTTGCTAGCACCCAGTATGACCTGGTCAGCTTAACGGGAACATGGTGGGATTCTACTCGCAACTGGGTGGTAGGCATGGAGGGGTAT